CATATATGAATAGTGTTGTTATATATGTACCCAGAAATAGGGAAACCTATTTACCGCTGAACGATTGAGTAAGAGTATTACAATAGTATCGTTATTACATGTAACCGGAATAGGGAGATGATAAACCCTATTGCCGTAGAGCGATTGAGTAAGAACACTACAAGAGTATCGCTATAGCACAAGATGATGCACACATAGGTATTTGATCAGTTGTAAGTTTTACTTCCATGATAGATTACCCGCGAGTAGGGTATTTCTTTTGAGATTTTGGCACACTCGTTATGGACGGCAGTTATATTTGTTTTGGTTTGGTTGACATCCTCTTATATTAGAGCAGGCTACTCGGATGTAATTCGAGATGATGTATTTATTCTTTATGTTGGAGATTTGAGTATGTTTCTTTAACTATTTGTTTTTCATAGAGAGATATATGAATGATTTGATATATGTAAGTACTGACTCTATTTTCTTATTATACTCCTACCCCTTCCCCTGGGGAGAGGTAGTGATGATCTCGCTAGCACTTTGATGCTCGTTGTTTCCCCTCTTTCAGGCAGCGAGTCCGGCGCACAGAGAGTCGCAGGTTGATGAGACTTCTTAGTTGTCCATTTAGCTACTTATTATACCTGGTAGTTATTGCAGAACTCCACATGTAGTTGATTATTTTTAGATTCTAGATTTGTATTTTAGTTTAGAGTTAAGGGCTTTTGTGAGACATTATTTATTTGACTCATTGTATTTGAGATCTAGTTTATACTCAAAGATATTTCTATTCTATTTCAGTTGGGCTCATATTTGATATTTCTTATGCTTCTTCTGTGTATATCCAGTGTTGCCTATTTCTATTTTTGCCTGTCTGTACCCTCACCTATTTATTATTTCCACTAGAGAGATAGTGATTATGATGGTGAAACATGTCATAGTATGGTGGTTGGTGCTTAGTAGGATTGACAATCCGGGTTTCACCTGGGACTGCAGCATTATGTGAATCCTGGGGCGTCACAGTCAATTCCTTCACTCTTTTGTAAATCGGAAAACCGATAAAGAAAAGTTATAATTTCTTTTTCTAAGTCAGTTAGAGAGAGATTACTGTGAGAGATTGTATTCTTTCTTTTCCTAAGTCGGTTAGGGAGATTAATATAAATTTTATTCCTCAATTTTTCTTGCATTTTTTTCTAACAAACATGAATGTTATATTGAGCCCTACTTATGCTGCCAATTTGCTCGTCAATTTAGATTTGACCAACTCTACGTTGGAATCCGAAGCCAGAATTTCTATGCATGTGGAGCTTGGTAGAGAGGGCTTGTGCCTGGTATCATTTTGCTGTCGGGGCTATGAGGGTCAGATTTACACTCCACCATCACATACCTAATTGTTATATGGCATTAGGGTTCTACAAATGGTATAGCAAGGTGATTGTTCCCAATCCAAACTTTCATGTGAACAAGACTGGCTTATGATGGATCACCCGGAGATAAAGGTAGTTTTCTAAAAAAACGTTTGAAGAGTTAGGCTCCTAGACTTTAAAATTTTTTGGCAGAGGGTGCGTCGAAAGATGAAGATTGGGAGGCACCAAGTGGATGTCCTGCTCCTCAAAGGCAAATTTGCGCTAGCATCTAGGAACCGTCTGAGTCTACGGTTCACTAATATTCTTGTATGAAGTTGTCTGAAGTGCATCTAGTTGATGTGAGCTTCTTATATGTAGGTAAAGAACCCATTCCTCTTGATCAAGAGAATCCAAATGACGAGGAGAAAGTGGATTACAAAGCTAACATTGATGTCTATTTTACTAAGCCTGACAATGTAGGCTTTGAGGGCAATGTATGCGGATCTTCTTATATGACAGGAATACTTTTCTCTGACTGATCTTGTGAAATTTTCTTTGCCTCGATAATTAATATTTTGTTTATCTTTTTAGCAGATGATGAACCAAGTCGGGAGACCATGGATGGGGTGGCTCCTACATCTCTTCCTCCTAGTTGCAAATTTGAACCTGTAGTTGATTTTGATGGTGTTTCTGGAGTCTCGAAGTCTAATCCAGCTATAGATTTTGATAATCAGCCCTACTCCAACACCTATTTTAGTAGCACAACATAGACTTGTTGTCACTATGTCATCTAATGAAAATGACGATGCATCAATCTTCCCGATCCCAGCCAAAGTTGGAAGGGTAGCGCCATCGACTTCCGATCCTTGTCCTATTGAAGAACTGATTGTAGCCACAGTCACATCTAATGAGCCAGAGGTCACGTCTGCAAGCATTGAAGTCGTACCTGTAGACTTGCTAATGACCATGGCACTGGTTGTTAAAATTATTATCCCATCAACTAAGGTAGCGTCTGTGGCATCTTCTATTGTAAATGTTTCCAGTGTGTTGGCTACACTTGCACCATACCTCTGCTTTTTCAACAGCCATGGATGCATTGGTGGTTTCTACAGGAGCGGGTCCTTCAAGTCATGTGGAGATCCCCAAATCTCCTGATCTCAATGATTTAATCGAGTTGAAGATTCAAATCCTAACTAGGAACTTAGTGAAGCTGTTCAACAAAATTGTTGAATCCGTCATGGCTATGTGGAAAGGCTTATCAGTTCGTAGTCTTGTCTTGTTGAAGAATCAGCTTGGTCTTCTGATGTCAGTCATAGGACCTACACATACTGAACTATTTAAGGCAACGATTGATGAAGTTGATTTTTATTTTCAAGAGTTGTAATGACTTTGTGAGGCCGATATTGATGGTATTGATGAGCTTGAATTCCGTCAGCTCTCGGTGAAGCACTATGAGGTCAAATACTCTGCTTACAATGAAATGAAGTAGATTAGGATAAGGCTTTAAGAGTTGAATGATAGCCTTCTATCAATAGACAATAGTCAGGCAGAGCTTCATAATGCCATTCTAGAGAAAGAAGCAACCATCAACGAAGCTAAAGTAGTCATTGTAGCAATTCAAGCATGATTAGAGGAAACTCAACATCAAAAAGAGGAGATTGAACTTAAGTCAACCTAGTTGGCTAAGGAGTGCGATCTCAGAGTCACGAAACTTGAGATTGAGAGAATGAGGTTGGCAACTGTTAGAACCCAAGTTGCTCTCGTTGATCCCAAGGTTATGAGGAAAAGGGCCTAAAAAAAGCTTATAAGGCTAGGGATTCTAGAATAGCTACGTGCATTGCACAAATACATGCTTTTTATCCATATTCCCTTTGAAAGACTTTGTAATCGGTTAGCACTTTCAATGAATAAAAGAACTTTTATATCCTTTTGATGTGTAGACAATAGAGGTGTAATGTCAACATATTGTACTGACATCTTTGTTGGGGAGAGAAATGATAGAATCAAAGTGGTAGAGGTGTAATATTCACATATCAAGTTTGGTCTAATTAGGACTGTTCAAAGGTGGAATTTTAACATGACAGTGTTAAAGTATTTGATAGAGGTGTAATGTTAACGTGTTAAATTAAATGACCAACAGAGCGGATTGACAATGGCGTAACGATAGAAGATCTATGGAAGTGTAATGTTAACTAATCAAATTTTAGTAAGAGCAAATTGACAATGGCGTAATGTTAACCAGTCAAATCTGGAAAAAAAAAGTCGACAAAGGTGCAAAGTTAACTAGTCAATGAAATAATCCGACAGAGGTATAATGTTAACCAATTGAATCATTAGAATGTAACTATTTAGAGATGAAATGTTAACATGACTACAATAAGACTTTTATAGCCAAACAGAGGTGTGGTGTTAACTTGATGACTCGTTGGGGATTTTGATTTGATTTCTAGATCAAGATGATCAACATTTATGGTCAGAGGTAAAAACATAAACATGACCAAAATCTCTATGGGGAGATAATAATATTGGCCAGGATCAAGGGTAATATTTCTTGAAAAACTTACTGTTGATTGGCGCCATGAACCATTACTATTTTGGTTAATTAGGTGATATACTCCATTTTAGTAGAATGTCACTACTATGAATGGACATTCTCATTTGGATTGGAATTTGCCTTTAGTCTTATGCATCATGACCACGGGTCAACAAAAAGCTAAGACTAGGTCACTTTCTTTGAAGGATCATTCTTTGACTCTCCTATTGAAGACTCTCGAGATCCATGACAGATAAATCTCGATTCATTGCTGAGCTTGGAGTCTTAATTCATCTAGCGCCTCAAGTTCTTGGAGACATTTTTAATGATATTCTTCGGTTATCATCTTTTGGGAAGAGCGATTCTTAATGATGGCATCTAAATTTCTAATAGAATCATGTCTTCTCATCCGAAAACCAAGGAAAAGGTGTGGAGCCAGTAGGACTGGGACTTCTGTTTGATAAGCCCATCAAAACATTCTAAAATTTTAATCCAATCTTATTTATTGGAAGAGATGAACTTCTTAAGAAGTTTAATGATGGTTTTGTTGTAAGGTTCAACTAAACGATTAACAGTAGGGTTATATGGTATAGAAGCTACATCCTGAATTCTGAAGTTGTTGCAGAATTTGAGAAACAGTCAACTAATGAATTGCGGACCGTTGTCGTGGACTATCCTTCTAGGGACACAAATGTGATAAATCACGTGATGTCTCAAGAATTTGATCACTTGAGATGCCTTGACTTCTCTGAGTAGAATAGCTTCGGTCCATTTGGGGAAATAATTAGTAATGACCAGAACAAAAGGATATCCTTAGCTGACAGTGGGCTGATTGGCCCATTGTTGTTCATACCTTATATTTCAAATGGCCATGAGGCAATAGTTGGATGCAATTCTTCTGGAAGTTAGTGTAGAAAATCAGCAAGGACTTGACATGTCTGACATGATTTGGCATAAGCCACTGCATCTGCAATCATTATCGGCTAATAATAGCCTAGACAACAAATCTGGTCCTGAAGTTTGGGACTTAGTTGATGAGCTCCACATGTACTATTGTAGACTTGTTTTAATGCTTCTTGAGCTTCACTTGGTGATAAGCACCGGAGAAATATGTTGTCGAATGATCGTTAATATGGAGTCTATGTAGTAGTATCATAGAAGAAGCGTGAAGCCCTTCTTTGAATGGAGAGTGCTTGCTTTAGACTATCAGGTGATATTCCCTGCAAGACATAATCAATGATTAGGAAGCACCAACCATTAGCCTCGAAGTGAATTGGCATGGCATGTACTTTGTTGGATTCGAGAATTTGCCTTGGGGAACGTAATTGATGGATAGCTACTGATATATGCTTTGTAGATTTAGAAGTCAAGTCAAGAGTAGCTACAAGAGATGCCAAAGCATTTGCATAAGTGTTTTCAAGGTGGGCTACAAAACTGATGTAGAAGCCTTTGAATGAATGGACAAGCTTCCTTAATGCTTCATGGCAAGGTATAAGATTATTGTGGCAGACTTCATATTCTCCTTTAATTTGATTAACGATAAATTTGCAATCACCGTATGCTTCAAGGTATTTGATGCCCATGTCTTGAGCAAGTTGTAAGCTAATTATAAGGGCATTATACTCAACCATATTATTGTAGTATGGCTTGGTCAATGAGTAGGCTCGAGGAAGGACATGTCCACGAGGATCGATCAGCACTACCCTCACTCCTGCAGCAATTGTCCCTTTATGGTTGCACCTTGACACACCGTCAAAGTTAAAATTATCATATCTAGATTTCTGAGGCAGCATTTGACTCAAGGACTTCATCTGGGATGTCTTCAAAGAGTTTAGAAGATTCGAGTATATGGTGGTCCACTAAAAAGTCGATTATCACTTGGCCTTTAGTTGCTTTCTGTGATATGAATATCACATTATATTGTGAAAGTAATATTGTCCATTTGGCTAATCTAAAATTTAGTGATCCATATTTTTTCATAAGTATCCATAAAGGATTGACTCTCGAGATGATGTGGATAAATTGACTAGTGGAATAGTGTCGCATCTTTTGGTATGCGAAGACCAATGCTAGACATTCCTTTTTAACTAGATTATAGTGATGCTCGACACTAATCATGGTTTGGCTAAAATAGTAAATTACTTGCTCATAGCCATTGCCATTTTTCTGGACAAGAAGTGCTCCAAGGGAGTGATCCATTACCCTGATGTAGATAAAGAACGATTTACTATATACTGGTGTAGATAAGACAAGTGGTTTCGTGCGATGACCCTTGATCTCGTTAAAAGCTTCTTGACAAGCATCATCCCAAATGAACAAGACACCTTTCTTTATCAACCTTTGAAATAGTTGACATTTCCCAGACAAGTTAGTGATAAACCTAAAAATATAGGCTAATTCTCCATGTAGACCTCTTAAGTTCTTTGAGATTTCTCGGAGGTGCATCTCTTGGATGGCTTTCACTTTTTGGAATCTACATGTATTCCTTTGAAGGCTACAATAAATCCTAGGATTTATTTGATGATATACCGAGGAAAGACTTAGTTGGGTTCATCTTGAGTTGATGTTTTCTTATAATTTCAAACATCGTTCTCAAGTCATTGATTTGATCTTGCTTGTGACACCTTTTGATTGCAAGGTCATCGATGTAGCATTCTACTGTCTTACGCAAGTGTTCACAAAAGATCAAGTTATGCATTGATAATTTGCTCTGATATTTTTTAGGCCGAAAGACATTACTGTATAACAGAAGACTCCTAAGGGTGTCTTAAAAGCTGTATGCTTCCAATTATCTGGATGCATTTTGATTTGGTTATATTAAAAAAAACCATGACATCTTCTCAACCATGCACATGTTATCTACAATGACGTCCATGATAGGGAGAGAGAATTCAGCCTTTGGACAAGTAAGATTAAGATCTTTGAAATCAATATAGATCTGAATATTGCCATTCTTTTTTATCACCATTATGATGTTAGCTAGTCAATCAGTATGTTGTCCTTCACGGATGAATCTATAGTCAATGAGTTTATAGATTTCTTTCTTGATCTGTTCTATCAACTCAGGATGGAAGCATCATTATTCTTGTTTGATCGGTTTAACACTGGGGTTGATGTTGAGGCAATGTACGGCCACATTTGGATCTAAACCAAGCATGGCTTCGTAGTTCCAGGAAAAGATGCCAATGTACTCTTGAAGGAGAGCAATGAACTCTTCTTTTTTAGTGGACAAACATTCACTGATGAAGATAGTTTAGAATTAGCTTCATCGCCTATGTTGATTTGAACCACTTTGTCTTCTTTAGGCGGTTTCCCTGACTTCAAAGCATGACTCCTACTGCTTTTTAAGATGCTTCACCCATGAATCATCTTTAGAATCTTTGAACACTTTGGATTCATCGAGATCCATGGTTAGATTGTATGAGATAATGTTTGTCGTGAATTCACCAAGCATGGCTCCAAGACTTATGTTAGAATTCCAGTTGGACGTATCTGAAGAACTACTTAGAAAATCATTAGATGTTGTTCTCAATTGTGACTCGACCTTAGAAGAGATGTAACTAAGTCAACATTTGGTCTGATTATATAAGTGGAATTCTTTGTCCTTGATTGAAATTCAATCCTTATTTTGATGTGAGGTTGTACCCCTTTTTTCCATTATGTGCTGAGATTGTTGGCTATAATGGAAGAATTCCGGTGCTCATTTATTTTCTTCATTCAAACTTGATAGGTGAGGTCATGGCTCAACTTTTCCATAGATAATTGGATTCAGGGTGCCTCTTTTAAGTTAGACTATGAAAGTGACATTTTTTGAGTTATCTAGCTTCTCATGAGCTTATTAGTATTTATAATGCTGGTTCTAAAGCTAGACTAGACATCAGAGCTATGACTAATGAGTTTTCTGACTTAGAGTCTAAAGAATAGTCATAAGTAGAATCTTCTTCATTAAAGACTTAGTTTCCCTGATATCTAGCTGACTAGTCAATACATAGGTCTTCAAGGGTAATTACAAGTGGATCTATTATCTAGATTGGATCATCATTGGGATCTGACTTATCGTCTACTTCACTACTGTAGGCGTTAAAAATTGCCCAAGAATTCTCATACGTGGCTTAAGATAGAGAGAAGATGATGAACGTCACTATCCGAGTCACAGAAGCTTAATTGTTGTCGACAAGCGCATAAAGTGAGTCAACGAACCATGCAAAGCAACAGAACTTCGGAATAACAAAAACACAAATGGATCGGGAGCTACGTGTCACTTACAAAAGACGAAATAACTCTCATGTCCCATTCACTCCTTGTAGATCTCCTCGTTGGCTTTCTGACATATTTTGAATCGCATGATTCTGAGTTCGGATGACGAAGATACGGCGAAAACGGACAGAACACGCAGAACAGTGCTCCAGGCCTCAGCGAGACACCCATAGGTGTCTCGGCCAATGTTTAGCCGAGACACGCATAGGTGTCTTGGCCAAAACACACCAAGAGGTGTCTCAGCCAAAGCTCGGCCAAGACACCAAGAGGCGTCTCGGCCAAGTCTTGGCCAACACACCCATAGGTGTCTTGGACATTTTAGAGCTATTTTGACTATGATTTGCTTTGAATCTGAATAATCTCAAAAGATAAAATTGTAGAGATCCTTGTTAGCTTTCTAATACATCTTGGATCAACTCATTCTGATATCATATAAAAGAGATAAAGCCAAAATACCAAAGATAGTACAAACTGCCTTAGAATTCCGAGATTGTGTTGGTGTCTTAGAGAAGAATGGAGATTTTGGCCATGATTCGATTCAAATATGAACATTCTCAAAAGATAAAAGTTGTATATATCTTCATCATCTTTCCAATGCATCTTGAATTATATTATTTAGAGGTCATATGAGGATGTTAGAGCCAAAATACCCGAGACACCCACTGGTGTCTCGGCCAAACCAAGACACCCAGAGGTGTCTCGGCCAGGCCGAGACACCCACGAGTGTCTCAGCTAAGTCGAGACATCCACGGGTGTTCGCAGCCCCGAAAACTAATTTTTGATAGTTTTAAGCTGTTTTCGACGTTAATCACCTGGATTTGTTCCAACTGATCTGAATATCATCCAAGAATGTGGTTAAGTGGTTACAACTAAGGATAAGAGTGAATCAACCATTTTTATCTGAAAACAGAGCTCCCGAAGCCTATAAACACAGCCCCCGGGCCTTTATTTTTTTTAGATCTAGAATTCTCGAGCATCGGTGAAGCCCTACTGGATTGAAGACCGAAGGAGCACGAATTTCAGAAGAGAGGAGGAGATCGGATCAAGTTCGTCAGCATAAAGAAGAGGAGCTCATCAGATCTACACTTCCTGGTTCTTTGTCTTGAGATTACCTCGTTGCGATAATCTCGAGAAGAGTGATTATCTCACTGTTGCCGAGATAATTGCTTCGGTTTCTTGATTCCTTCGCAAATCAACGAAGCTTCGGATCTAATCTGATCGTTTGGTAGTCCACAGATATCAATATCCCCGTCACAAGCTAATATCCTACGCAAGCAACGGAGGATAAACATCAGTTACGTTTGTTTTGACGAGAGTTGTACTTTTTTTCGTTTTCATTGTGTAAGAGTCTTATAAAAAGACTATCTTTTTTCGTTTTTATTGTAATGACTAAAGTTGTAATGAATACATTAATGAAGATATCAACTTTCTCCCCAAACAAGCTAGCGACCATAGTGGGAGCCAATAGCCTAACTGCCAAGGCTGTCGTGCCGTAGCCAACAATCAAGATCCCGATGAATGAAGAGGTCGAATACCAATTCGACCAGCAGAAGTTCGAGGAGTATATGTCCTCCTCCTCCTCTAGATCCGCCTCTCTTCACAAGTGCAGGAAGGCCTCATCCTCTCGGAAGATCCACTGTTCTTCAGATTTGAATACCCAAGATCTGGACACCACACCTCGCAACGATCTATTGGCATCCGATGAAGCCAAAGCCACAGATCTGGACACCGCCTTCATTAAGGAGTTGACTATTAAAGGCGTGCCAAATTTTTCAAAGAGGGCTCGTCAAAGGCGTCGTCAACATCTTGCTCATCAGTTCGCCAAGGCTTTGGAGCAAGTGGACAAACTCCGCTACCAAGCGGATCTAGAGTTCAGAAAGTACCAAGTGGCTAAGCCGTCGCCACAACAAGCATCAGGGTCCTCCTCCCAACCATCAACTAACAAATAGATTCGTGTCAAACGAACCCATTCTACCCTCGAGGAGCATATCCAGAAACGTCACGCACTACTTGCACACGCAAGGATTCTTGCACAAGAAGCATAGAAATTACAGCAGGAGGAGGTGGTCAAGAAACCACCAAGATCTAAGCAAGTTTGGGTGCTGAAGGCCAAAACAACATCTCTACCTGACAGGAGACACCAGTCGTGTCTTTCGCTCGATTCCAGATCCGAGGCTATTCCCCAGCCTTCGTCAACTTTTGATCTCACTCCTTCTAATCTTGCATCTCCAGTAAAGCTCCACGATAGTATGGACATATCCAGAGGTAGGAAAGCAATAGCGGAATGCCTAGATCCATTGCACGAGGATCAAGGCAAAGCTCCAGCCAAAGAACACTTAGCACGATGAATGAACCCCGAGCAACTCATCGAGCTAGGGGTCGCACTTGCCATTGCAACAAGTCTGAGCCTTCTCATAAAGGGAAAATTCCATTAACCAATCGCATTGGACTGCGAGTCGAAGTCTATGAGCCCGTTGAGGTCCCGCGCTCACAAAGGCGTAACACCAAACGTGTGACTCTTGAAAATACTAACAAAGCATTATATCCCTAGAAG